GATGAACAGATCGATGGAGGAAGAGCGTCCGTTTGCGGGGTTAATTCTGGTTGGTTGTCCGTTATTGAGGAGCATCAGATTGTCATGCATGAGTAGTTCTTCGATGATTTTCCCTCTGTGATCTGATTTGTGCGATCCCCATATTTCGCTGTGACTTTTAAAGTCACCGACTAGGATGAATGAGTTGGGAAGTTGTTGTGTGATATTTTCAATGTCAGAGAGAGAGAAATCTCTTTAGTTTGGTATATATATGTTGCATATGGTTAATTTTATGTGGGGAAGAGTGACTGAGACTGCTATCGCTTCCAAGTTGGTTTGAAGTGGGTGTTCTGTGCTGGGGAAGTCTTGATTGATCATAATTGCAACTCCTCCACTAGCTCTGGCACAGGAGAGACAGTTACGTTTATATATGTCAAAGTGTGTGAAAGTAGGATTACTACCGTCATTGAAATTGGTTTCTTGAATGCATACTACCGAGGGACTGTGTTCTTTGATTAATATCTGGAGTTCGTCGAGTCTACTGTAGAACCCGTTAACATTCCATTGTATTATTTTAATTTTCATGTGAGGTGTTCTTTGAATTGTAGGCTAGTTGCTTGGAGTAGTGTAAGGCGGAATGAGCGGGGGCAGGGGGGTAGGTAGGGTTGGCTTTTTTTTTTTGTGTGTGAGGTTTTATGGATCTTGAGGAGGCGAGGCTTGAAAAAGCAAGTTGCCTAGTTTGGTAAGGCGAGTTTTGAGGAAAGTTTTGTTGATTGTTGGGCGTATTTCTTCGATGAGTTGCATTAGGGAGGGGATGTCGGAATCAATGTCTTTGCAGAGGTTGTGCATGTTGATATTTTTATTTGTGTAGTTTTCCAAAATATACTTGAACTGGAGCATGGTCACAGTGGAGTTGTTGCGAAAGATTTCCTCCGCTGGTATGAGGCTCTCAAGCAATTTATCTTCGTTTCTAGTTGATGAGTTTGATCTGAAGCGGATCTTAATTTTTTTTGGGGGGGGGGGTCTTTTTGGTGATTTCGTTGAGGGGGGTGAGTGGTGTTAAGTCTGCCGTATGTGAGGTGATCTTAATAACTTCTTGTGATGATGAATCAGAAAGATACCACTTGGAGGGTTTTTCGTCTTCTGTGAGTTGTGCTGACTGTTGAGATATATTAGTGAGGGAGTCGTGTGAGTGATCTAAGGGTGTAAGAGGTAGGTCATGGGGGGTAGGATTTGTGTAATTATAGTCATATGAGGTGAATTCGGTTTGATGTTCAACCAACGAGTCCGTGTTGTCTTGAGACTGCGTTTCGTTGATTGAATGGCTTTCGAGGAGCTGCATGTCAATCGGGAATGATTCGACTTAAGTGTCGCCTTTGTTATTGTTTGATTGGGGGAGGTTATGCGTTGGTAGATTTATCGAATTTTCGGAATCCAATTGTTTGTTGCATGATGTAGATGTGTGCCCGGTTGATTTATGAATGAAACACGTGATTTTTTCGTCGTTGAAGAATATTCTGAATTGGGTTTGGTTTTTGATGATAGTTATGGAAGCGGGTAGTTTTGTTGTGTCTTCGTGGTTAATGAACATTTGTCGGCGGAAGCTCAAGATATGCTCGTAACCCTCAAGATTTATTCCGGCTCTCGTGTGGTTTATCTGGGATACTGGCGTAATATTTATGCTTTTTAATGCATTAAGTATCGATTGGTTCGGTATTGAGGGACATGCGTTGGAAATGATTATTTTTTTTGCTGGAGTGATGAGTCTTCGGATTTGTATTATGTGTTCGTTTACCGTGATTGTATTGGTGTTTTCTAAAAGTGTTTCGAGTATTTCTTTACTAGAAAGGAAAACACAGAAGTGATTGGACATATTCTAGATATGTAGATAATGTGTTTCGGTGATATAATTTTTCCAATTGCTAGTATGTAATCTACCTGATGTATACCATCGATGGAATTAAATACTAGTGCCTGTTCTCTAGTAGGATTTTTTTCGTTTGCCGTGATAGAGGCAGGGCTAATGGTTTTATTCGGATAATTGGGTGTTTTGTGTTGGTTACTAAGATGGATCGGTTGTTGATCACAGACTTGATCGGTCATTAACGCCGGAAACGGCGGTGATTAGCTGCTTATCTGCTGCCTTGACGACGGCCGAATTATATGTAACAGGTGTGTGTTGGTTGGCGGGAAAGATATAAGATGTACGTGGGTTGCTGCTGTGGTTATTTGTATTCAGTACGGGTAATTTGTTGTTAACTTTGGTAGTACTAGACAAACTCGTTGTTTTATTAGTTTTAGGGATGTTATTTTTTGTGAGAGGTTTGCTTAGGGGCGGCGTGCCCGTCCTATGCTTTCCGCTCATTTCGTTAGTGATGGAAGATGCCTGATATTATAGACAATAATATTGATTCATATTACCTTTAATCAGACGCTGGTGTAATTAGATACCACATTGCTATCGAGAGCTATAAAACGCACAATCGTGGAGAGAACACACGTGTTATACTATCGGAGGTTGAACACGTACTGATTTACAGTCTTATCAAACACCTCAGGAACATTACAGTATTGTACAAAGCATTCTTCAATTGCTGAAACTAATGTAAAATTGTGTAATTTGGATGTATCAAGAATCCTTTAGACTTCAAGTTTGTTAAAGCTGCTTCTGGTCTTGTATCAGATCCTTAAATGGTAAAACAATACTGGAAAAAAGGTAAATTAATACAATTATTGGCACCACAGGAAATTGAAAATATTTCTAATTGTATTTTAAATCAAAAATTAAACATACCCTTTAAAGAAGGAAGACAATTTAAACATTGAGTTCTTTTAAGAACTATTTGATGGCACATAAAACCACATAAATAATATATAACACATTATTTAGCTGTAGCTTTTTGAATTTCACAGTAGTTATGATCTTTTATAATATCAACAACTGTGGCGTCTAACGGATCACATTCATCATCGTCATCAATAATTTTATTTATTTTTTCTTTTAGTTTTTCAGTTCTTCTATTTTTTGTTGCCTTTCTGGTAGATTGCTTTTAGATAATTCTTTTAAATCAGTCAATGTTATTTTAGGTGTTGTTGAATCAAGAGTCTGGCAGTTTCCTGTTTTTGGAGGTTTTAATACTGAAAATATTGATAGAAGTTTATACACTTGTAAAAACGTAGGTGCTGTTGGGTGTTCATTTGGGCCAGTATCCTGGCGAACCATACCAAAAAATTGCTAACAAAAAATTTAAAATAAATATTAAGTAAGTTTCAATATTTTTTTTTTTTTTTTAATAAGAAAAATTACTTCGATACGATCTTGATTCATTCTGTTTGTTAGATTATATTTTAATTTAACTTCATCTAAAAGGTATTTACTTAGTTCAATTATTGACTTTATACTGATCCGCAATCCATCAGATGTACTTTTTATGAGAAACTCATTTGAAGTAATTTTGCCATTAATAAAGTTAGTTTCCCATTCATCAAGCCAAATAAGAGTAGTCTTTAAAACCTTTATAAACATATTTATATAAGCATAATAATATCAAATTTTAATCATTACATCAACTTACATCAGTCATTACTTCCTTTTCTTATGCCTTCAGCTGTATACTTCTTATTAAGAGCATTAAAAACTGAGTTAAGTATGTTTGTTAAGTTTTCTGTTTCGATACTGTCTTTGAGTTCTTCACTTTTACATGATCTCTATAAAATCTAATTACTTTAATTGTAAGCCCACTATTCAGGTTGTATTGGCTACAGCTGTGGTCCACGTGAATGATTCAGCAGGTAACGTGGTGCGTTGCATTGCAGTACTTGACTCAGGATCAAAATTGTGTTTTACCACTAACGCCTCAAGTTACAGATAGTCAACAATACGATACCCATTACTGGCATGGGGCAGTCAAAATTATCAATCAGCAAATGTTGTGTGGGTATAGTGCAGTCTCGATTTGTCCAGACACAGTTCCAGGTGCAACTTCATGTGTTACCTACCATCACTGGCGACCTTCCAACACAGAGGTTTGACACAAATCAATTAAACTACCCTCGTGAAATACAATCAAACTAAGCTGATCCCGAGTACAGCAAACCTGGGTCTGTCGACATGCTACTTGGTGCTGAAATATTTTTTGAGATTTTAAGACAAGATAAACACTTAATGTCGGAGCATGCTGCCTTCCAGGACACTGTGTTCGGTTGGATTTTGGTGGGTAAGGTATTCACCCAACCATCTGCGGTATCACGGTACGTCCAGTCATAAATCAATGCTCTGCATTATCGTTATTCACATCGGCCGTGTCTAGACGGTTATGCGAAGAGGAAGAAGCTGTGTAACAACATTTCACACAAACCACTCACATAAATGAAAAAGAACAATTTGTGGTTCGACTTCCGCTGAAGGAACATCCTTTTTGCATAGGAAATACAAGCATTATAGCTAAGAAACGTTTTCTTAATCCCGAACAAAAATTGATCAAAGACAAGGTGTTGTCAAATGAATACGAAAAATGTTTGATGGAGTACTTGAAGTTAGGGCACATGAAAAAAATTGGACAATTCAATGAAACCCAATCCAGTAAATATTACATTCCCCACCATGGAGTCTTCAAAAGTACCAGTACAACCACGAAGTTACGAGTATTGCTTGATGCATCTACTATAGGTTCAACAGTTAAATCTTTGAATGACTTGCTCATGAAAGGACCAGTTGTCCAACCTACGATGTATTCCACACTGTTAACACGTTGACCGCCACGGCGTTTTTCACTTTGTTACTTAAATTTGCTACGAGATCAAATTCTAAATCTCAACAAATTACTAAAAGTTGGTTGTGAGATCTTATGTTGAATCTCACTTATACAAATTTTCTATCGATGAGAACTCGTGTTAGGTCTCAATAATCGGTATTTTCTCGTCGGATTCTAATTCTACAGTGTTGCCACTTTCAGATGGTGTTTGTAGCTTGACAATACCATATTTAGTTTTTTTTATCAATATTTTAAAATCATTGATAATGCAACGTTTGATACGTTGTTATTGGTAACTAAACGTATAAACTTTTTACTTTATTTATCTGATTATCAAAATTGAATGTTTAATGTGTTTTTGCCGTTAAGGTAACGGATTTATGAAGTTTTTTTTATGTAATTTGTGACAAATAAACAAAATGAATGACGAGAGTATAACTGAAATGTTAGAATCTTCATTTGAATCATTTGACTATAGTTCAGACGATTGTGACAATGACCCCAATTGGGATCAAAATGCTGAAAACATGTCTACAAGTAAGTTATTTCACCTGCAGCTTAATGTACTTTGATCTAACTTACATATGATTTTTAAATGTTTCGAATAGGTAGTACTTCTAGTAAACAAAATATCAATGATGATGTCAGACATGTGAACATGTCTATAGATGGTAATATATTTTGCTTGAAATTGTCTATTTTCTATTTATAATTAATAATAAAATACATTTTAGAAATTGAATTATCTGGAGTAGATGCAATTGCTTACAGTGATGAAAATGATGATCCAAATTTTGGTAAATAATAAACAAAAATGTGCATTATTAAAAAAAAAATGTTTAAAATTATTTTTTTTATATTAGATTTGGTATCTCATATAAGTGCTTCATCTGATAATGGTTCTACTACAAATTATCCTGGACCAGGACGTCCAAGGATTCATCCTAAGGTAAATGTCAATGATCGTCGTCAATGGAGAGCAGACGACAATGTTATTGACGATTTTATTTTTGATGCTGATAAGACAAATTCAGGTATAAATCCAGATTTATTTGACACTCTTATGCATGGATCACCGCTTGATTTTTATTAATTATTATATACCTATATAAATATATTTTATATTTATTATGCTATAAAAAAAAATACCTATTACTATAATTAAACTGTTTTTGTTATATTTTTATTAATAGTAAGTAATTTGTTGTAACTTATGTTTTTTCATTATTAATGTACATGTGGTTTTTGAATATTATTTTATACTTTAAAAAAAAAGTTTTCAAGTTATGTTTTTTGTTTGTAATATCATTTTTATCATAAAAAAGTTACATTTATGCTTTTTATTTTGCAGTTTATAGGATAAAAGCCTACTACCAGAGATTGTTTTCATATTATTATATTGTTCCTTATTGTTCAAATAATGTATTATTTTATAAAATAAATAAATATTTATTTGAGATTTAATGTTAAGTCTCAATTATAGTGATTTTTCATAATGAGATTTAGTTTGAGATCTCAGGCTAATGGTCAAAACATTAATTTTTCAAATGGTGACATCCTACGGCCATGAGATCTAATTTGAGATCTCGGCTTATATTAAGTTATAACATAAAAAAATGTTTTAGGAAAACAATTATGAATATAAGTACAAGTTTTGAATAAAATCAGACAATGTTTTATCCAAAAAAAAATTTGAGTAAACCTATGAAAAACCCCGTGGCAGTGAGGACAAAGTTTGGTGAGATCTCGTACAAGAGCTCATGGCGGTCAACGTGTTAAGTTTTTGAGTCCATCAAGTAGCCCTCACGGCAGATATAGAGAAGATGTACCGACAAATACTAGTTCATAATGACGATTGTCAGCTACAAAAAATAGTGTATAGGTCAAGGCCAACTAATGAGCTTCAAGAGTTCATGTTGAAAACAGTAACATATGGTACAAAAACTGCCCCGTACTTAGCCACCAGGTGATTGGTACAATTGGGGAATACATGCACTGATCCGGACTTAGCAAGAATAATCCAAAGGGACTTCTATGTAGATGATTTATTGAAAGGAGCAGACACTGATGATCAATGTTATGAGATTTTCCAACAACTCACCAGTGTGCTCAACGGCACCCAATTACCATTAAGGAAGTGGTGCTCAAACTCGTCAACACTCTTGTCCTTGTTACCTACCACCCACCACTGATGATAACTACATAATAACATTGTCAGAATCTGACTCAGTGAGTGCGTTGGGTTTGCAATGGCAACCAAGCACCGATAGTTTAAGATTTGTCATGAAACCATGGACTCCACCTAAACGAATGACTAAGCGTAGTCTGTTGTCAGATATCAATAGTATTTATAATCCCATTGGTTTGATTACTCCAGTACTCATCAAAGGAAAGATTTTTTTACAACAGTTAAGGAGTCTGAAAATCGACTGGGATGAAGTATTATCAGATGACATTTGTTCGGGGTGGACAACCTTCTATTCCAGCCTCCATCAACTTATTGAGTTGTCAGTGCCTAGAAATGTGTTACTCGCCGATGTGGTCAAGCTCCAGGTACCCGGCTTTTGCGACGCGTCTCAATTGGCATTTGGTGTTTGTGTGTACCTGAGGTCGGTCGCACGTGGCGGCAGTGTGTATGTCCACTTGTGCACATCGAAGTCCAGTGTCGCACCAATGAAGGCCACGACAATTCCGAGGCTCGAAATATGTGGCTCTGTGACATTAACCAAACTTGTCCTTGAAGTTCAATACGAATTACGTCGGTTAAATAACATAGTCCCGCCTAACAATGTGTTTTCATGGAGCGACTCCACAATTGTTTTGGCTTGGTTCGCGAGCACTAGTTTATTCCAGGTGTATGTTTTAAATCGTATAGCGCGTATCCAAGACTTATCAACTACACATCAATGGCAAAACGTCCCAACAAACGATAATCCTGCGGATGTAATTTCACGAGGTGTTGGCGTGCGCACACAGTGTTGCCAAGTTGGTCTTTTTATAACTAAATCTGGTTTTTTCTTGCTGCATCTAGTTGTTGAATTTTAGATTCTAGTTGATAGTCATTTTTCTGGTTTTTTTTTCCCGGCTTTTTTTGAAATATTGCCTTATCGTGGGCTGAGAGTAAAAAGGTTCTATGTCAAAATATCTAATTTTTCAGGAGAGCATTTTTAAGGTTTGTTGTCAAATATCTTTTTATCATATAAGGATAATTGTTTATAATTGATATCAAAAAATCAAGCATGTTGTCTATAATAATATAACATGCAAATATAACATCTCACTATTTTAGTTAATTCTCTAAAAATATAAAACAAAAAAAATGTAGTTTAGAGTAAAAAGGTTCTATACAAAGGACTATTTTACTCGCTAAATATTTTTTATTTAATAGATAGAACCTATTTACCCTTTAGTGCATTACATAATTTTGATCAGTCAGGCCAACATAATATAATATAATATGATATAATTTTATCTAAAACGTCAATTATTAATATTTTATTAAATCACTTTTTATTTAAATATTCTGTGTAAATGTATAATACTGTGAAGTAACATTAAATACATTTAATAATAAATTCATAAAAATAAAATAAAATGAAATACAAATAATAATAATATAATCAAAATTCAAAACATTTTTTTTTACTTAATAATTAGTTAAAATATTATATTAATAAGTTTCTTTATATATTATGCGAAACAAATTAGTATATAACGTATGTTACTGTATAATACTGTGATGTAACATTAAATACATTTAATAATACATTTATAAAAATAAAAATAAAATATAATAAAAATAATAATAATAGAATCAAAATTCAAAACATTCTTTTTACTTAATAATTAGTTACAATATTATATTAATAAGTTTCTTTATATCTGCGAAACAAATTAGTATAAAACATATGTTACTGTATAATACTGTGATGTAACATTAAATACATTTATAAAAATAAAAACAAAATATAATAAAAATAATAATAATAGAATCAAAATTCAAAACAATTTTTTTTTCAACTAATAAGATACTCAGCTATGTATTATTATTTGTTAATTTTTTATGTAAAAGTTTCTTTATATCTGTGGAACAAATTAGTATAAAATGTACGTTCATCTTCGGGCATAAATTTGTATAAATACTCTACATCTTGAATTTTTTCTTTTGTTATTTTTGGATTATTTTTAGTTGACACAGCTAAGTTTATATTTTTTAAAGATTGAATAAAATTTGGAGTTGAGTTGGAACACAAGTTAATTTGAATAAAATCATCTACACCATGTAATGTTTTATACTTAACTATATTTATATTTATATTGGAAAATTGTAGTTGAACTACAGAATTGAAAGGAATAAGGTTAAACTTAAATTGTTTGGATGTAAAGTGGTAATTTTTAAAAGTATTCTCATTTAACTGTAAAATTTTAAAGGGTTTTTTTTCATTAACTGTTAATAATGCTCTAATGAACCCAAGTGGGGACCAAATTTCTAAGTTTTTTATTTTTTTTTCAATCTGAGAGTGAGCATTATCTACTTCTTGTATACAAGAATGGACTGGAATAGAATATTTCATAGTTATTGTTTTTATTTTTGGATTATTCAATAAAAAATTGATCATAGCAGTGGATATAATGGAATTTCTATTTTGGGGTACACAACTGTCAGACCAGGTTATGATATGTTCTATATTATCTATGTCTTCAACAATTTTAGTTAAGATAAAAATAACAGCACTAGCTAGATCATTGCCCGAGCGTCCAACCAAAGCCTCGTTCCATATCGCACAATACACTCCAGAAGAGACATTTACATGAGCAGTCATATTATAAACATTTAGTTTTCTTTTGTAAAAAGCGCAACCAACATTTGTCATGGGTAAATTAATTACGTTCTCTAAATCAAAACATACTACAATAGTATTTGGATTAATATTTTTGTCCGCATTTCTCACTAGCCTCATTGAGTCTTTTTTTAAGATGTGCTCTTCATAAAAATTAGTTTTTTGGGTATCATGAGAATTAGATTTTTTTAAATAATCATACTCAACACACACTTCACATAAGTCTTTTTTAGGTGAATAAAATGACAAATTAAAATTATTATTAAAAATACTTCTGTACATATGAGATTTAACTGGTGTCTCATTTTGAGATAAGCATAGAGTAAAATATTGGTTATACATTTTAGAAATATTCAAGTTTGAGTCAAGATATTTTCTTTGAGAATCTGCTCTACAGTAATGCGATTGTATAGTTGGATATGAAGATATATGTTTAAACACAAAGTCTTTGCGTTCACTAGATATTCTATTATCAAGTTTTTTCCCTCTTTTTTCATCTGGAGGAGTAAGAGACAGTGGATTTTTATTTTCATGTACATTGTACACAACTTTTTGACTTATAGACAAGCTATTAAGAAAAAATACTTTGCAAACGCGAATTTTGGGTAAATCATGTTTAGGAAAATAATATCGAAAAGAATATCTATTCTTTTTAGATTTAAAACACTCGACTCTTTCTGAATAGTTAATTAAATAACTTAATTTATCCTTCCTACTTAATGAATAGTAAAGACTATGTATGTCTTTAATATTGGAGATAGAAAAATTAAGGCTACACTTAAAAGTGCAATTTTCCTTACATACATTTTCAATGTTAATTTTTTTTGCTTTAATAATTTTTCCATTTGTCGATACATGCTCATTACCACTATTGACCAACTGTTTGGTAATATTTTTCTTCCATGTTAAAGGGTGTTTTTGACGCTTTCTCGTTTTTTTATTCAATTTAAAAGGTGACTTTTCGGTTTCCGATTCTTCAGTTGATGAATCAGTATAAACTACAAGCCTGAAAAAAATAAAAATTATACTTTCTATTTAGTTTTTATGCTATAAATGACTAATTATAAATATATAAATTTAAAGCTGCAATTAAAAAATAATTAAATACCTTGCTTTGTTATGCAGTTCTCTATCATAATTTTCAGCATTATTATCTAGATTTAAAATGTCTGAAACACTAGTTTGAAATACATTTTCATTGCCATCATTAAAATTTGAGGAGACATCTAAAATATTCACATCCTCAGCAAAATCTATGTTCATATTAAATTCATCCTCAACTAGAGTTACACAGATCCTTAAATTGTATAAA